CCTGACAAAGACTGAAGGCCATGTAGTTGTGTACAAAACTATTCCCAGAGAAATAATTACAGCTTCCTACAAAGGAAATGTGCTGGGTGAACTTGGTAAAGACACATACTCTCAGTTTAATCCACCTCACTGGGTTGTTGTTATTCCTCCTCTAAAACAGTTCACATTGCTTTCTTACTGAGAAAGACTGGATCATGAGGGCATGAATACACAGTGTAAGCCGCTCTGAGACTCCTTTGGGTAATTAAGGGTGGGGTATGAATCCAATCTCTTCTTCTTCTCTATGGCCCTAGGCATTAGGAGGACCCTGTTATACCATATTGACAGGATGAAACCTTTTCAAGTTGACAAAACTTTATCTGCTACTTGGGTCCAAAGAAAGGGAAGTCAGTCTCCTCTCAGTCCATATCTTGGTGGGTTGTGGGCACCATTCGATCTTTGTATGCCTCTGGCAAGCCCTGCCTTCTTGATATTAAGGCCCATTCCACCAGGGCACAGGGGTCTTTAGCCACTTTCCACCACAAGGTACCACTTGTTGACATTTGTAAGGCCGCAACATGGTCAGCTGAGGACACATTCGTTAGGCATTACGTATTGGACTTTCAATCAATAAAGGATGCAGAGGTTGGCAAGGAGGTTCTTCAAGCACTGTTTCAATAGGCACATCACCTGGTGAGTAGCTCGCTATATCCTAGCATGGGGCTGCACTGAAAATGGAAGATGAAAACATAGTTGCACTTACCTGTAACTTAGATCAAGGTCGGTAGCCATGTTGTTATGAACCAACAGAACAAAGTTAGAGTCCAATGGAACCTTTAAGACCAACAGTTTTATTCAAGGTGTGAGCTTTCGTACGCATGCACACTTCGTCAGATGATGAAATGGAATTACATATTGTATATATAGGAGTGGTTTGTTAAATTTATTTATTTATTATTCAGATTTGTACCCCGCCCTCCCCCGTAGGGCGTGCAAAATAGTGAGGACACATTTTTTTAACTGATCAAAACAATGACAAGCTTAGTTCCTCGTCGTCATCTGTTTTGGTTCAACTGGGGGGGGGGGCAACATCTATATATATATAAAAGAAAGTCCCCTCACCGTAAAATCAATGCCCAGGCCAAACCACTGGAGCTAGAAACACCAAATGCGGAGAGAGCGCTTCTACCATGGCATAGGTGATGGCTAAGAAGGGATTTTTAGAAATTCAACCCATAAGGGGGTCAAAAGGGATAAAATGTGCTCCCCCCATTGATTCCTGTGCGGCTGTCTCCTTGCACCCCCCACTTTCTGGTTGGTCAGCTGCAGAGCTCAGTGTTCTTAGGTAAAAAAAGCCAACAGTTCCTGGAGTCTACAGACAGCTAATGACAGTTGAGGCCAACAACCACCTGTGAGGTGCAGTAATGCTGCTGACCCAGCCTCTCTGATGGCTTCCAAAATACTCCCCCCCACCTCCTATATCTAACAGATGGTTGTCTGTTAGGTGCAGCAGCAGTTGCAGGGTGCTTAAAGCCACGAGGGAGTCTGCCCCAGCAGTAACACCTTAGTGATCCTGCCTCCACAGTGGTTTCTAATACTCCTCCCCCTCCTACACTGGACAGGCAGCTGCCTGTCAGGAGTAGGAGAGGAGGTGGGATGCTTACAGCCACTGGGGATGTTTGCTCAGCAGGATTGCCTTAGTTTGATCAAAACTTTTATTTTTTGGATATAATATCACATTTAACATTGGCTTTCATTTATCCAATACCCATATTTCCCTTTCCCCCCTCCCTTGCAAATGGCTTCTCGCAGTGCTCCACCCTTTTTCCCTTTACAATACTTATATTTGCTTAAACATCTTAAAATTGCTTAAATGTTAAAGATAACACTTCTATCAATATTGTTCTAGATACAATAAATTGTGTTTAACATCCCAGTTTTCCTCTAGATGGTCTTTAAAATCTTTCCAGTCTTCAAAAAATTCTTGATCTTCTTTGTTACTCAACTTTCTTGTTATTTTGTCCATTTCTGCCATAAATAACACTTTTTGAATCCAGTCTGAGATCTCGGGCGTTTTCACTGCTGCTGGCCCAGCCTCTCCGATGTCTATAAATATAATCCCCCCCAATACCAGACAGGTGGGTGTCTGTCAGGTGTAGGAGCAGGACCAGGGTACTTTAATCCATTAGAGACGCCACCCCAGCAGGATCACCTTAGCGATGCTGCTGGCCCAGCCTCTCTGATGGCTTCCAACACACTGCCCCACCTCCTACACCTAACAGGCGGCTGTCTGTCAAGTGCAGCAGCAGCTGCAGGGTGCTTAAAGCCACAAGGGAGTAACGCGTTAGTGATCCTGCTAGCCCCGCCTCCACAGTGGCTTCTAATACTCCTCCCCCCCTACACTGGACAGGCAGCTGCCTGTCAGGTGTAGGAGAGGAGGTGGGATGCTTACAGCCGCTGGGGAGGTTTGCTCAGCAGGATTGCCTTAGCCCTGCTGCTGGCCCAGCCTCTTTGATGCCTTTAAATACAACCCCCCCAACACCAGACAGGTGGGTGTCTGTTAGGTGTAGGAGCAGGGCCAGGCTACTTTAATCCATCAGGGATGCCACCCCAGCAGGATCACCTTAGCGATGCTGCTGGCCCAGCCTCTCTGATGGCTTCCAACACACTCCCCCCACCTCCTACACCTAACAGGTGGTTGTCTGTCAGGTGCAGCAGCCGGTGCAGGGTGCTTAAAGCCATGAGGGAGCCTGCCCCAGCAGTTATGCCTTAGGGATCCTGTCAGCCCCGCCTCCACAGTGGTTTCTAATACTCCTCCCCCCTCCCCCTCCTTCACTGGACAGGCAGCTGCCAGGAGGAGGCAACTTAGGAATGCGGCAAAGACATTTACATATAGTACTCCTGTGGGGCACTGAGCTGCGCAGGCCAAGTACCAGCAAGATCACCCTGAGGTGCTCAGAACAACACAGTCTCCATATGAGCAATGCAATCCAGGAACACAAGTAGAGAGACCATCACTTTTGTGGAAGGTGGTAGGAATTGACTTAACAGACAACTGCTTCTTAAATGGACAGTTCTATGTGGCCTGCTCCAGAGTGAGCTTATCAAGCAACCTGGTGTTCCTAGCACCTGAGGGCAGAACCACCAATGTGGTCTACAGAGAGGTCCTTCGGTAGAGAGAGGAAAAGTTCGTATGTCTCTCAATTTTTTACACTACAGTCTTCTTCACTAGAATTCCTACAACAAATACCACATTTCAAAATTCACATAATCGGTATTATAACTGGATTTACGGAACTTAAATACTGTAGCTAAGCACAGGTATCAGGCTAGTAGGTAATAAATATGCTAGAACTGAAGATTGATGTGCCCTAATTTGTGAGAATCCCGTCCTTAGACCTCTTCATCTCCCTTCAAGCATGGAGGTGAATTTTACAGCATCTTGGCTGTGTACAGTGTTTTCCTTGTCTCCAAAACAACTGCATTTAAATCTACAATTCCAAATTACATTACATTAATTGCTAAGAGTAGTAATAACATTTTGCTTCAGTAAAACATGGTGTTAACTGACAGAATCCTTTTCCTGACTCTTTTTTCCTCATGCCTGAAGATTTCTTGAGTATGTGGAACTTTGGGAAGCCCCCTTTCATTGCATCGTGATAGGCACAGGACCATCACCTTCACAGTTGGGAAGAGTCATACTAACCTTCTTTCACAGTTTATTGTAATTTTATTAATGCTTTGCCAAAAGTGTTGTTGTTAGCAGGGTGTAACCATTGTTGTCATCACAACAAAAAGCTAACCTTTATCCCTGCCCTAGTTTCTCCCCAGGTTCTCATAATTTCATAGTTGCATGAAAAGGTCCAGTTATAGGAAGCAGCTGTTTAAGAAATAATCTGCCAGTATTGAATGGTATAAGTGGTTGTTTATATGTTAAAAAAAAAGTGACGAGCTTCATACACTTTTGTTTTTGTCATTCAACAGAAAATATTCTGATGCCAAATGATAATCTGCACATATACCAATGTTCACTGAAAGCTGTGATGATAAAATTATTGTCCAAAACATTAAATGTCAAAATGACATTGCAGTGGTGACCTGGCACCTCAGATTTTTCGAGTCCTGGCTTGCAGTCAGTTTGTTTAAGCAGCCTTTAGTGTTTAGGAGAGCATAAACAGATGGATTTTACTTCCTCATAATTTGCCCCCGCTATACCGAAGGACTAATTGAGCACCTTCCAGATAAAATTGAACCCCCAAATCGAAATTCCCATAAAGCATTGATACATGAGAGAAATCTTGTTCAGTTTGCTTATTACCAAATAATTGAGAAATGTAGAATATTTTTGCTTCCAAGTCAAGGTGCAGTTTATTTACATGCTGAAGAAAATGCAGTGTGTGGTTCACACCTGTAATTACAGTTTTTAAAAATTAGCATTTTAATGACCATATCCATTCATTTCAGAGTAAGGATTAACCTGTGATTGTATTTAAATTGTATAACTTTCAGTGTGCTGAAACCACTGTTTCCAGTTTTATTAATGACATAAAACTGGGTTCAGGTGATAGGTGTTTTGTTTGATTTTTGTTATTCATTTGTTGATACTAAACATTTTCCCCAGTGGAGCCCCAACACAGTTTATAAGGTCATTCTCCCCTCTTCAGCAATACTTGTTGGCTGATGCCGCCATGGGATGGGCTGTGTTCTCCCTACTTCCCCGCCTTGGGACTCCAACAATACTCCTGTGAGGTGTGTTAGGCTGAAGGAGAAAGACTGTCTGAAGGTCACTCAATGAGCTTCCACGGCAGAGAGGAGATTGAATCTTGGGTCTCCCAAATTCTAGTCCTGCTCTTTAACTAGTATACCATGCTGGCTCATATATTTCCTCATTTATTATAATTGTTAATCCTTTATATGCTTGTCATGTTCTTGAAAAGTGTGCATTGGCATTTGTAGATGAATACAAAAAACAGTAAACCTATTTTTCCTTGTAGTGTAACCATTTTCTTCATTTTGTCTAGGTCCAAGAGTTCAGTGGACAGATTCAAGGAATTACCAGTAATGGCTTTGCTGCACTTACTTTTGATGGCACAGTTGGAGCACCGGTGATTCCCCGAACCACTAGCAAATCATTCACATTTACTGACGAAGACAAGAAAACTGTAGAAGACTTGCGCATTTGGGTGGCAAGAAATTTTGCAAACTGTGCACCAGCAGCAAATTTGTCAAGCATCCAGCCACAAATGTTTTTTGACCTCACTTGCCAGCTAGTTGGGAAAGCAAAAGCAGATGAGTCATCCTATCTCCTTAAGGTTTGCTTGTTTTTCATGACTATTTTAATTCTAGTATTTTTATTCTTTGGTACTGAGGCAGGATGTTACAAGTGTGATTAAAAGTGAAATGACAGCCAGTGCATGGATAATATTCCCTGAGTGTCCATTTAAAGTCATGCTGAGTCAAGCTATTAGTCCATCAAGCTCATTGCTGTCACTTCCAACTGACAGTGACTCTCTCAGGATCTCAGTCCCAGGTCTTTTCCAGCCTTATTAAAATCTGCTGTTCCTTATTCCTTGAGCACCTTTTAAAACTCAGATCAGTTTTTAGAACCCGTTTGTTGGACCTGCAGGGTAGTTGCTAAGAGGAGATCTCAGTTTCCAGTATAAACATGGATGTTCCATATGCTCTGTATGCTTCTTTAAAAAAAAGAACTAATGTTTTATTAAGTTTTCTGAAATACAAGGTGCAGAGTAGGAATTAAGTAGACATGTTTCTAAGAGATTTGTAATAAGAACCATATATGGTTGGAAATTAGTTACGTCTTTATATTTAGCTGTGAAACGTAATACAATGCTTATCAATGTAAGACAATATTCACTAGTTGTTGATCATTACCACATGAAGGATTAACAAGAATAAACTTAGTACCTGTCCATCTCCTATGCATAAGAAACATATAATAGGTCTAATATATTATATAGCTACACCTGCTCTGTACTCCCTCCCACCTCCCATGCCCTCTCTGTAAACTACCCCCACCAAAATAACAAAATAAACAAACTACTAAAAACAACATTAACTTGTATGTTTAACTTGTGAACCCCCAAGTGGGAATAAGTCACCAGACCCTTGGTAATTATCCAAGAGAATAGGGCTTTAAGCCCTATATCTGGGACTTCCTAACCTGGGAAGGCAACAAAAACCAACACATCCCCCCTCCCCCCATCAACTGTTAGTGTAATGTTATAAAATATATTTATAAGTAATAAACAGGCAACCACATTACAACGTCTTAATGGATTTTAGCAAATAGATAAATAAAAAGATTGATCAAGACATTTGCCAAAGTGGAATTTTGCTCCCTTTGGGAGATGTTGTACAGAATACCAATTTATATTTCTGTGGTTTCTTTGATGAATCCTGCAGAATATCAAAATTTAGAGCTTGCAATAAAGAATGTCCACTGTCCAGATCAGATGCATAATATGACTTTCCCTGACAAACAACTTGTATTTTACTTGAGGCCATCCATTTGTATTGTATGTTGGCGTACGATAATTTTCTGATAATGGACTTCATCTCCTGACGTTTTTGTAATGACTCTGGAGAGAGATCTCTAAAATTTTGTATTTTTTTGTCTTGATATAACAGGAAACCCTTTAATCTGACCTCCTGCAAGTTTTTTTGTATTGTACGATTGTCGATAAATTTAGCTACAGTATCCTTTGGCCCTTTAAGATGTGGGTTGTTGGCTGGACCAACTCTATAACCGTTTTCAGTGGCTGGGGCTATGCCCTCTTCAAGGTCTAACGCTGATGCCAGCCACAATGCCAAAAATTTAGACAATTCAGTGGTGCCCTCCTCTTTCTCAGCAATTCCTCTGAATTTTATTTTATTTTATTTTATTTGCCTAAGAGTGTTTTCTTCTTCCTGGACTGCGAGCCCTCACGTCATGGCAGCATCTACCTTTTGGGAGACTTGATTTAGAGAGCCCTTAATTTCTTCTAGTTGTTCAGCAATTGGTTTGATGAGGGTAGTAATTTTGCTTTGGTGCAGTGGTTAGGAGCACAGACTCTAATCTGGGAGAACTGGGTTTGAGCCCCCACTTCTCCACATGCAGCTGCATGTGTGACCTTGGGTCAGTCATAGCTCTCTCAGAGCTGTTCTCTCAAGCTCCACCTACCTCACAGGAGGTCTGTTGAGGGGAGGGGAAAGGAAAGGGATTGTAAGCTGTTCTGAGACTCCTTCGGGTATTGAAGAGCAAGGTATAAATCCAATCTTTTCTTTTTCTCTCTAAAATGTGATTTTGGGCTGTATCATCAGTGTCCAGATCACACAAAGTGATGGTATTGCTTTACTTTGCTCTAGTTAGACCTCACCTAGAGTATTGTGTTCAGTTTATCACAATTTAAGAAGGATATAGACAAGCTGAAACGTGTCCAGAGGAGAGCAACGAAGATGGTGAGAGGTCTGGAGACCAAGTCCTATGAGGAGACAACTGGAGAGGAAATGATTCAGAGGTGATAACCATCTTCAAGTACTTGAAGTGCTGTCATATAGAGGATGGTACAGAGTTGTTTTCTGTTGCCCCAGAAGGTCGGACCAGAACCAATGGGTTGAAATTGAATCAGAAGAGTTTTCGCCTGACTTCCGGTTTATGGCGACACGACAGCGGATGCCTCTCCCGGGGAAGCGATCCGCGCACTTGTTGAAGGCTTCTAGCCATGGGGCTTTGAAGGGTGGCCTCTTCTCCAGTGCGTTGCTGGGGAATTGAGGTGCTCTTCCGCCCCGACGGTCCTGCCGCTGCTGCGTCCCTAATGGAACGAGAGCCGCTGACCAGGACAAGCATTGGAGATCGGGCGTTTAAAACGTACCTTGAGCGAGGTCTTCGGACCATCAATGAACTGTGAGTCGAGTTAAGCTGAAATGCTGGGAATTTAACAGAAAGCCCCCCTGGGAACGGCGAGACAAGCGAACGGGGGAGGGGCTTCTCCCATACGCACAAAGAGAAAAGCGATTTGCCAAGGGGGAGCAGAAATAAAAGCCCTCTACTGGACCAGATGACGAACATCAACCAACAACTGACGGCTTTAAACCAGAACTTTGCAGCTCAGCAGCTCCAACTGACTGAGACTACAAAAAAACCGGAGCAAACAGCCGAGAAAGTGAAGGAAATGGATGCCAACTCCAAAAAGGTTTTTTTTAAAAAAGGTCCAAATGCTGGAAAAGAAACAAGCTTCAGATGAATATCAACTTTTGCAGCTATAAATGGAAAATCTAATCTAGTCCTCCGGTTCCAAGGGGTCCCTGAAGAAAAAGGAGAGAATCTAAAACAACTGCTGAGTGATGCACTAGCCCCAGTTACAGATTTAAAAGTGGAATACCTTGCAAGAGAAATGGGTGTGGTTTATAGAACCTATTCCATTTATATCAAGAAAAATAATCTGCCTGGGGAAATAACGGTTAGATTCTCAAAGAGACATGTGAGAGATCAAATCCTGAAAGCAACTACAGGAACGCCCTTAAAAATTGGAGACAATATTATCAGGATTTTAAAAGATATTCCATTTGAAATAAGAAAGAAGAGGAAGGAGTATAAAGACTTGATTTCATTTTTACAAACGAACAGCATTCCTTACAGATGGTTGACTCCCGAAAGTATCATTTTCAAACTGCAGGATAAAAAAGAAAAGATTGACTCTGTTTCTGAAACGCGAGAGTTCCTGAGACTGCAACTGAGATAGTCCAGTGAGGACAGCAAGGAAGAAAAAGACAGCAAGCCTAGTGGTGAAATGGATTCTGCTACTTCCGATGATGACTCTGTCTCCGAAAAGGGGGCGGCAGCCCCTAAACGAGAATGCCAATTAAGGATTAGAAAAGATAAAACAAAACGAAGGCTGAAGAACTCTGAAAGGTGCCTTAAAGCTTTTTTTAAAATTGATGATGCTCTTATGATTTTCTTTAAACAGTTAAAAATGGTTTAAAAGATAAATAATATAGCTTGATCGACTATGTTCAATGTAATCATAGCATTTTAGACTAACACTGATACAAGCTGTTGTAATGATCTCCTATATTTGAGTTTTTAGTTTTGTTTTCTTTCTTTTCCCTCAAAGTTAGTTTCCCCCTCCCTTTTTTTCTGTTGTAGTTTATAGAAAAATGCAATAAAAAATCCCCTCCGGGGGCTTAAAAAAAGAAAGAAAAAGAGTTTTTGACTAAACATTAGGAAGAACTTTGTGTTAGAGTGGTTCCTCAGTGGAACAGGCTTCCTTGGGAGGTGGTGGGCTCTCCTTTGGAGGTTTTCAATCAGAGGCTAGATGGTCATCTGGCAGCAATGCTGATTGTGTGAACTTAGGCAGATCATGAGAGGGAGGGCAGGAAGGTCAGTGCTTAGTTTTTGTGGCCCTTTCTAACACATCCAGAGAAATCCTGATTTCCACCTTGTAGTAAGGAAGCAATTTTTCTCCAGGCCAGTTTGACTGGAGATTCTGGAGGTTTTTTGTCATCTTCTGGGTGTGGAACAGTGGTCACTGTGGGTATGGGGGGAGGTACTTGTGAATTTCTTGCATTATGCAGGGGTTGGACTAGATGACCCTAGAGACCTTGGAGAGTCAGTTTGGTGTAGTGGTTAAGTGTGTGGACTCTAATCTGAGAGAACCAGGTTTGATTCCCCACTCCTGCACTTGCAGCTGCTGGATGACCTTGGGCAAGGCGTAGTTCTGTCAGAGCTTTTCTTGAAAGAACAGTTTCTGTTAGAGCTCTCTTAGCCCCACCTACCTCACAGGGTGTTTGTTGTGGGGAGGGGAAGGGAAAGCTAATCTGAGACTCCGAGTGAAGGGCAGGGTATAAATCCAATCTCCTCCTCCTTGATTCTGTGATTCTAGTATATAAGCGGCAATCAGAGGTTTCATATGTGAGCATATGAACCTGCCTTGATCTATGTATCAAGCTTTGTATTGACTGTTCTGACTGATAGAAACTCTCCACCATTTCAGGCAGAGAAAGGACTTTCCTGCTGTCTGATGTGCAAGGGACTGATTTGAAGAACTTCCACTTGCATAGATTGTCATTCTACCACTGACTGACAACCCCTCTTAATTCTATCCCATATCACACTGCTGTTATCTTATGTATTGAAGTTAATGGAGAAGCCTTTCAACGTAGGCATTACACATGATCAGCTGTATTTGCTAGGCATTCTACACAGTCAGAAATATCAAAGTAGATCCCACCCAAGGACTGGATAACTTCAGTAAGGAAACATTCACATGTTCCCCACATATAAATGTTTGTGCATGGAAAAATAGCATGTTCG